TACTCTTATACAAATATGCTTACCACAACAAATAATGAAACGTTAGCTTCCCGAAGAGAATTTATTGATTTTGTATTTATCTTTAAACTTGTAAATAACCTTGTTGATTCTTCTGAACTCTTGCAAAGTGTATATTTTTATATCCCACCTAGGCCGTTGCATGGTAGCTCCACATTTGCTTTGAAAGCTCATAGAACTAACTATGGCTCAGGAATTGGTATAGCCAGACTTCTGAGAAATGCTAATAAATTTGCAGCAAAACAGAATATTGATACTTTTAACTCTTCCCTGTATCAAGTGAAAAGAGTGGCGAAGTAAAAAAATGTGTTAGGTCTACATAGTATTTTAATATTTATGTATATTTTTTATACTATAAACTTATGTATTTTGTAAATGGTTTAAACCGTATGATAAATAAATGTAAGGTAAAACACAACTTTCACCACGTAAAATACAAAGAACAGGGTGCGGTAGATGTCAGGAGTGCCTCAGAAACAAAGATAGAAAATCAAAATATTCCTGTGAACAGTGCGAAATATTTTTGTGTTTAGAATACAATGAATTTTTTATGCCAAAATTGTAGCCAATTGTCTGACAACTAGTTTTAATATTTTTCTTTCGTCTACCACATGAATTTAATTTGTTTTAGAGCAATCATTTTTGTTGCTATTTTTACATATTTTTTTTATTGTCAAGAATAGTTTTTTAGTTTTTCAATTTTTAGTACGTGTGATTTTTACGGACCACAATTTTGATATATTTGGTATTTTGAAAATATTATAATAAATGTTCAATTCTTATGAAGTTCGCGTATTTTTCTTTTAAGTTATAAATATAAAAATGACACTATTGCACAAAAATATTAATAAAAAATGTATTTTTTTATAATCTTAAAGTCAGGGACCATCAGACCCCACCTAGTTGATGATGCACAAAATTTTCACGGGTGATGCCGGGTTAAATATTAGTTTGGATTTAATTTATAGCCTACTTTGGGAATCTTTTTGTGTACTCTATAAATTGCAAATATGTTTTAACTTTTATTTATTATTTTACTTTCTTAACTTGTTTTATCCCACTTGCGATCAAACTATATGATATTCAGGTCGGATCGTTCATTCATTTCATTTAAAATCTTTATGCATTTTTTAAAAAATATATGTACAATATGTAAACATAAAACGTCACAAAAAACACAGACTGTACACAGTACAGCTGTGGCCCGAATGGTATCCATTGAGGCCTAAGGCGGTTTCTCCGCCTGTAATATGTTCCATATTTATCTGTTTTGGTTATGCTAATTATAGCCGCCCTCATTCCTTACCCTATGGGTATTATTGAGGGATTATGGTGGTTTTGGATCGGGAATTGTAAGTTATAGGAGGTTTGTCGTGTGTTAGTTTTGTATTGTCCCCTGAAAAAGCTAGAAAAAAACAGGGTTGTCATTTGTGTTGTGTGTTCTTGTCCAAGTCTACGGTTCTTTGTCTTAATTCACAGAGAGGATGAGCTATAAACCACCCGGAACTGCCGCCGTCGAGTAACGAAAGTCGCTCTCTCGGCCGTTTCAGTTTTTTTCAGTTTAAAAATCCTTTATTCAATATATACATTATCTACATTACATTTACAAGCTCCATTTATAAAAAGAAAAAATAATATATGAAATAATAACAATAAAATAAAACATAATATTCTTCCTTCTGAATCCTTGCGGGGATTGGCTGATGTTCGTGCCCAATAGCAGCTTGTAATGTTTCCCAGTTTTGGCTGCCTTGCTTACTCCCTATCAGATCGATATAATTAAGCAGTTTTGAGCTATGATGCTGTTCGCAATTAGTGATTTGATTGTGTGTTGTGTGTGAGTTTAATTATGTCTGATTTTTCCCTGAAAAAGTTGTGAAAAAACAGGGTTTTGAAGTGTGTGTGTTCGTTATAGTCTATGGTTCGTTGTATGCAATATCCACAGACTGTATCAGATTGAGGGCCGTTCATAGGTCCGAGGTTTCAGCCAATGGCCTATCTCCTCGGGTCTAGGCCCCGCCCACCGTCTGATATAGTCGGACGCTTCTCGAATTTTAGATTCAGTCAGCTTTGGTTATTGCAAGGTAATCATACATGCTCTGATTGTCATTCTTGTGCTTTATTTTTGTAATTGTCTCAACGATTGTATATAGTAAGGTTTTCATGGATCCAAACATGCTTCCTATTTGAATTATTTACCCTAGTGATCTGGTTTATGTCTTCCTTGAGACGCGGAGGAAGACAGTTTCGGTAGAATTTCTCAGATAATTGAGTTATGTATTGTTTAATAGGAAGAATGTTTGTTCTCTCATGCATTTCTGTGATTCTGGTGTCCCCTGCACATCCAAGGATTAGCCTCAGACACCTGTTTTGTGTAATTTGAAGTTTGCGAAAGTGCGTTTCTGCCATGGAGCAGAAGACCGGACATCCATAAGTCAGTATCGGGCGAAGTATTTGCTTGAAGAGCAGTTGTTTGTTTTTTTGACTTACCTTGCTGGTCCGCGCCAGCATAGGGTATAAAGTCCGTATCATGCCGGTAGTTTTAGCGATACGGTCGTTGATGTGTTTTCTGAACGTTAGTCTCCTATCTAGATGAAAACCTAGATATTTTAGACTATTTTTGGTCTCGATTATTTGACCTTGAACCCTGAGATTTGTTATGACCCCGTCTGATTTTCTTTGGGAAAGAAGAGTATTCTCTGTTTTTGTGGGATTGATTTTCATCTTGTTTTCATTAAGATAGGGGACTAACGTTCTGTTGATATGGATGTCCAATCTTCTTGTGGCGATTTCTGCAGAAGTTGAGGTTTTGTAAACACAGGTGTCGTCGGCGTACAATGCCGTCTGTACGCCATTATGACCCATTGGCATGTCGTGTGTCATAATCGTGTACAGATGCGGCGAGAGTACTGATCCTTGGGGTACTCCGGCAACAGCTGTAAATGGTCCTGTCCTGTAGTTCTGTATTTTTATGTAGAATTTTCTGTCATTCAAATATGAGTAGATTGTTTTTATAATGTGCTCAGGATAGTTGTTCACAATCATTTTATGTATTAATCCGCAGGTCCAGACCGTGTCGAATGCTTTTTCAGTGTCCAGGGCCACGAGTACTGTTTGTTTTTTGTTATTGAAAGCTTTTTTAGCTTGGTGCGCTATGTTTATGATTTGTGCAACAGTACTGTGACCCTGTCTGAATCCGTACTGTTCCTGCGGTATTATGTTGTTGTCATTTGCTATGTTTTGTAGTCTCGTAAGAATAACTCGGTCTATGATTTTTGCTATGCCATTTAATAAAGATATCGGCCTGTAGCTCTCTATGAATTTTGCATTTTTCTTGGTTTTTAGTATGGGGATGATATCGGCTGTTTTGAGTGATTTGGGGTAGTATTGGAGTTTAATCACCCCATTAATTATGTGATGTAATTGGACGATAGCTTTTTTTGATAAGTTTTTTAATAAAATGTTACTGATTTCGTCAGGTCCAGGGGCCTTCTTTCTGGTTAATCCACACAGAATGCTGTGAACCTCTTTTGGAGTAGTGAGGTCCGCTTGTGTTATTATTATTGGTGGGGTGTTTTTATACCGATCGTTTACAAGGTTATTTATTCTGGTTTGTTCCGGATTGTTGACTGAATTATTCGTGAATATACTCTGAAAGTATTCGCCGAGTGCCTGACCTTTTTCGTCGTTTGTTGCGTATTTGTCCTGTCCTGATTCAAGTGTGGGAAGTTGCGAGTATGGTTTTGTAAAATGCTTCGCAATTTTCCACACTGAATTGTCTCGGGGGTTGACCGCTTCTAGGGTTTCATTCCACTTTTTATTTTTCTCTAGTTGAATTAAGAAATTAATGTGTTTAACTAAATCATGCAGCATGTCCCTATCCGCGGCTTGTCTGTGTGATTGCCATCTCCGCCTTAAAGTGTTTTTTGTGCGTATTAAGTCTCGTATTTCGTCCGTTATGTGTTCCGTATACTGTTTCCTTGTCACAAGCACTGCAGTGTGATTTCTTGCTGATTTAATATGCTGTGTAAAATTATTTATTTCAGTTTCTAGTTCCTGTTTAGTGCTTATGACTTGGATACGTAAGATTTCGTCGAGTTTACGTCTAAATGCGGTCCAGTCTGTCTTGGAGTAGTCAAAATATTTGCCTAGTTGTCTGTGTGCTTTGTTGTTTATTTTAATCTCCAAGTAGACTGGTTCGTGGTCGGAATTTAAAGCGGGGATGGTTCTGATGTCAGATACGTTAGTTATGTTTTTTGTTATTGCTAGGTCCAAGGTACTGGGAATGTGGTGGGGGATAAAAGGGAAGTGGGTGGGTTCGTCTGTGTAATGTATGTTTAGGTCATTCATCTCGGCGAATTCTTTCAGAGTTTTACCGTTTTTGTTATGTTTGATGCAGTTTGCATCCCATTCCGGGTGCTTGCTGTTTAGATCTCCCATTAAGACGACCCTCTGTCCTGTCGAAATCAGGTTATTTAATTCTAGTGATGAAAACTTATTTTCCGGGCTGTTATATACCCCCACAAATACGATATTACCAACTTGTATTATGAGACTTTCAAGTGAAGTATTTACATTTTTTAGTTGTTTAAATTGGATCTTTTTATTTATAAAGAAAGCAACCCCCCCATGTCCCGAGTTATCTTGTCTTTGTTGTTTAATTACAGTGTATCCGTTAATTCTAAATGTTTCGTTATCCCTAAGTCTCGTTTCTGAAATAAATACTATGTCGAATTTATGATTGTGAACAAAATTGCTAACAAGGTTTTTCTTGTTATGCAACCCGTTCGCATTATAGAAACAGATCTTGTATTTGTCAGTACATGTCTCACCAAGTTCAGTTCCTGAAGTTATAGTTGTTTATGTTGTCATAGAAAGCTTGGTAGGTTATATATATATATATATCTAAATTGGTGAGACATGCACGTAATTTGATATTCAAATCTCTAATTGCTCTAGTTAACTCTGATAAATTTACCAACCTGTTAAGTTCTGTAAGCTCAGCGTTCAATGCCTGGAAATCATCAGGGTTGCCATTTGGGTTGGTGGGATTGGGTCTAGGAGGGGGATTTGGCCGTAATGTTGTTTGGGAGGGGTTTATTGTTGATTGGGAGGGGTTTGTTTGCGCGTTTGTGTTGTATTGGCCTCTGCTTCGCAGCTCCGGGAATTTTTCTCTTCCTGGCACCTGTCTTTTTTTGGCTTCCCAAGCATTTATTTTTGGGGGTGGTGCTTGTATGTACTTAGTGGGTTTTGACATATTTCTCTTATCCTCTAGTCTTTCCAGTCTTTCAAGGTAAGCCTGGCACTTACTGTAGTTCGCCGGGTGCTCACCGTCACAGTTGGCGCATTTGGCTGCGGTTTCTCTTGATTTCATACAGGTTCTCGTTAGATGTTCCCCTGCGCACTTTAGGCAGCGCGGAGGTCTACCGCAGTTTGTCGTTGCGTGTCCCCATTTTTGGCAATTGTGACACTGGATTATCTGTTTCATACTCTTACGTAGTTCCCACGTTATTCTCGTGTGTAATATTATTCTAACATTTTTGTTGAGATAATCCAGTGTCAACGACGGGTCTGTTACGACCAAGAACAGTGGACGATTTTTGGTGTTCATTAAAAACACATTTCTTGTTTTGATTTCGTACTGGGAGTCCAGGTCCTCCTCAATATCTGGTATTTTTGTACCCATGGCTAATCCCCTGAGAACAAACGCGTGAGATTTGTCTTCTTTTGTCGTGTATGTGTGATACGCGATTTTTTCCTCCTGAATGTTTTTTAAAACTTTATGATGATCTTCTTTCTCATCTACAAACAATATGGTCGAGTTTGTAGTATGTTTCACGCTGAAATTTCCTCTAACTGTGGCCCTTAGATCCTGTATTAGGGTGTTTTGATTTTTTTGTTTGTCCGTCTACTACGATCGGTGGCATTGTGTATTTTTTCACAGGGGTGTTTTTCACTCGCTTTTGTGTGTTTGTTTGTACTTTGTTTTGTTGTGATGTGCTTTGTTGGTTCGCCAGTATGTCTTCGATGGTTTCCTCGCTTTGTTTATCTTTAGTTTTGTTCCTTTCAGATCTCTTTCTCTTAACGATCTTGCCTATCTCATCATCGTCATATTCTGAGTCCGAGTTATCGGTGAGTGGGAGGAATCTGTTTCTGGTGGCTGTTAGAGATTTTTTAGTTTTCTCTTTTATGAGACTTTGAAAGTTTGAACTAAATTTTCTTGGAGTCTGGAACGGTAACCCTCCTTCAACTTCTTGGGTGTCCATTTTTGTTTCCTTTGTTTTTCTTACAGGTCTGATAAATGTGCTGTTTGGGGATGTAGGGAGATATTCATGTGACTTGTCGTCCTCTGACGTTATGTCGCTCGATTTATAGCCCAGAATTGAGTTTTTTACTTCTGTAGGGATGTCTGTCGTTTTCACATGTATTTGCACGTCCTTATTCGAGGGTAGTTGAGTGTAAAAATCTTTGTTTGGACAGGGATTTGGTGTTTGTGTCATTGTTTGACCAGTATTGTATGGGTGAAAGTCAAATTTGTGGCTACTCAGTTCACCACGCTTTTGTACTTTCTCCATACTTTTTTTATCCGCTATTTTTATTTTTGGCGTGGCTCCTGTATTTGTGTTTTTGTATTTGTCCGATGATAGATCAGTCCCAAAACCAAAATTTAGGGGTCTAGCTTGTGTGCCTGTGGGGAGGTTTAGTCTTTTAATAACTACTTTTGTGGGATGGCTTTGTTCTGACACATATCCCGATAGGAAAGCATCGTTATTCTCTTTTTCAGTCGTATTTGTGACCTGGGGGGGGGTTTTCCGGATTTGGTTCAGGGTGTTCATCCCCTTCATGTTTTACTTCCCCTCCTTCTGCGGGGGGGGGAGAGTGCTTTGTCGTCCGCATCCATGTACTCCTCTGATTTATCGTCGCTCGCTGTGCGATTCAGATTAGGATGGGGTGTTTCTTTATGTTCTATGTTTTCTAGACTTTTGTGAATGTTGTCTTTGATTTTGTGTAGATTCTCCAAACTTTTGTGTGAATTTTCCGAACTTTCGGATAGGTAATTTGCATTTTTGCTGCTTTCTTCGACTTTATTATTAGAGAGGATTATTATTTTGGGGTCTGTATGCTCTATGAGGTTGTGTGGGTCCTGGGGGCATTCTGCCGTGGCCGGTTTAATGGTTGTATCCATGCTCTCATTTGAGCTGGAGGATTCGTCTAGATTTCCGTATACTTCTTCAAGAAGTGTTTGAGGGTCATTTGTAGGTCGAACCGGCGAAATTTTGGCCAGGGGTTCACCCTGTTTCGGGTAATTGACCCCTGGGTTAGTATTATCTGATGTTAGAGCCCAAATTGTGTTTTTACTCACGTTTATACTTGATTTAAGTCTAGATTTAGCTTTAATGTTGTCTGGCGTTTGGATTTTGGCAATATTCCTAAGCTCTGCAGTTTGTTTCCATCTGTTTCGCTGTCTTTGAGAATAAACTGTGGGGTATTCTTTCAGCTGTGGTGTGTTTGCCCCGGGGGGCTCTCCCATAAGGGTGTGGTTCCCTTTTTACGGGGTTTTTGATACTTCCTGGCTTACTCGAGCGATTATCTTAGAAAAATTAGTTGGCTTTTAGGTTAATAACCTGGTGACACGATTTGGAACTACGAGGAGCGGTACAAAATTCGTCGAAACTTCCTTTGGCAAGTCCAAAGGTAAACTATGTTTTAACTTTTATTTATTATTTTACTTTCTTAACTTGTTTTATCCCACTTGCGATCAAACTATATGATATTCAGGTCGGATCGTTCATTCATTTCATTTAAAATCTTTATGCATTTTTTAAAAAATATATGTACAATATGTAAACATAAAACGTCACAAAAAACACAGACTGTACACAGTACAGCTGTGGCCCGAATGGTATCCATTGAGGCCTAAGGCGGTTTCTCCGCCTGTAATATGTTCCATATTTATCTGTTTTGGTTATGCTAATTATAGCCGCCCTCATTCCTTACCCTATGGGTATTATTGAGGGATTATGGTGGTTTTGGATCGGGAATTGTAAGTTATAGGAGGTTTGTCGTGTGTTAGTTTTGTATTGTCCCCTGAAAAAGGTAGAAAAAAACAGGGTTGTCATTTGTGTTGTGTGTTCTTGTCCAAGTCTACGGTTCTTTGTCTTAATTCACAGAGAGGATGAGCTATAAACCACCCGGAACTGCCGCCGTCGAGTAACGAAAGTCGCTCTCTCGGCCGCGGCAATGCCGTTCAGTCGATAGTTCAGTCCTCCGTCGGACTAGAATTCGTAAATATCCAGTCCGTGTGAATTATTGTTTAGTATTGTAGGATTTGTCATGGATCATGTTACTGTCGTCGGTAGATGTTTAGGTTTTTGTGTAGGCAGCCGTGTTTTCTACGCACGCCGTCCCTATGGTGAATATTCATGATGCTATCCCTCAATTCATCAGGGAGGCATCGAGCGTAGAAGTTTTCGGCCGTCTGGATGACGAAGTCTTTTATGTATGGGATATTTGTCGTTGTGTGTATGTCGCGAATTCTAGCATAACGGTCGTAGCCAAGAGCTAGCCTTAGACATCTGTTTTGTGCCCTTTGTAATATTGCGAAAAGTGAATTTGCCATTGAACAGAATACTGGACAACCATATGTCAGTATAGGCCTAAATATAGTTTTAAATAGTAGCAGTTTGTTCGACAATGTTAGCCGACTCCGTCTATTCATTAGGGGGTACAATGACCTCAGAATACCGGAATTTTTGGCAACTCTGTCTTTTATGTGGACATTAAACAGTAGTGTCTTTTCCAGTCGAAAACCGAGACATTTTAACTCTTGTTTGACTTCTATTTGTCGATTTTGAATCACGAGGGGCGTGTCAATTGCTTGAGTCCGCCTCTTTGTTATAACCATCGATTCGGTTTTATTTGGGTTAATTTTCATTTTATTTTCGGATAAATAAGTCACTAAAGTTCCGTTGATATGGTCATCCAGCTTCCTGTTCGCTGTTTCGGCTGATTTATTGCTTGTGTATACACAGATGTCGTCAGCGTACAACGCCGTTTGTACACCATTATGTCCCATTGGTAGGTCACAGGTCATAATAGTGTACAAATGCGGCGATAGTACTGAGCCCTGTGATACTCCCGCCATTGCTATGAAAGGTCCTGTAATTGTCGTGTTTATTTTTACGTAGAATTTTCTGTCCGTTAAGTAGGATAAAATTATTTTAGCAATGTGCCCAGGAAAGTCATTTAAAAGCATTTTGTAGATTAACCCTTGGGTCCATACGGTGTCAAAGGCTTTCTCCGAATCAAGCGCCACCAGCACAGTTTGCAGGTCCCGATTGAATGCCTCTTTGGCATGTTGTACAATCCTCAGAACCTGGGCCACTTGCTGTGCCCCTCTCTGAAGCCGTACTGTTCCCTCGGGATAATCTGTATACGTTGTTATATTGTTTTTAAGCGTCGTAAAATTATTGTGTCCGTATTTTTGAAAGTGTGTTAAGTAGTGATATGGGGCGATAGCTATCAATACTGTTTCCCGGTTTTCCCTGTTTGAGAATAGGGATTATATTTGCCACTTTCAGACCACTGGGATAATGTTGCAGTCTGAAAATGGCATTTATTATGTGGTAGAGCTGCACGATAGCTTTTCTGCTAAGTCTTTTTAGCAATATGTTACTAATATCGTCCGGTCCCGGAGCTTTTCTATTTTTGAGACGCTTAATTACCTCGCATACCTCTCTAGGAGTGGTTAGAAAAGAATGAAGCACTAATAGTGGTCCTATATTTTTGAATTCGTTTATTATGTTGTGAATTCTTTCTTGGGCGGAATTATTGACCTGATTATTTACAAATTGTACTTGAAATAATTCACCGAGAGCTTGACCTTTTTCGTTGTCCGTTGCTAGTAAGTCTTGTCCTCGTTTCAATGTGGGGAGCAGTGAGTAGGGTTTTTTGTACCTCTTCACTACTCTCCATAGTGAGTTGTCATTCGGTTTCAATTCAGATAGGGTAGTTTGCCATTTTTTATTTCTATATTCTCTGATTTGTGTGTTAATATTGCTTGCAAGATTTTGCATCATTTCCCTATCGTCATTTAGCCGGTGTAACTGCCACCTTTTACGTTATCTGTTTTTGTTTGTGATTAAGTCTGTAATTTCGGGTGGCAGTGTGTCGTAATGTTGTGAGTGTGTCTTAATTTTTGTCGTTTCTTCTCTAGCTTTTTGTATATTTTTGATCAATGTTTTGGTTTCGTTTTCAAGTATTTCTACAGTCTGAATGTTGTTGTTAATCGTTACGTAACTGTCTATTTTGTCTCTGTACTGATTCCAGTTTGTAGATTTGTAGTCAAAGTACTGTGTTTTTTATCTTGGTATTTTGTTTGTAGTAAAATTTGTTGTTATCCATGTTTTTTAGATGAAAATTTTCCGTGTTGAATTTCACGGTTTTTCCCCCGTCATTAGTTGGGGTTGGGTGCAAATCGGCGTTATCAATGCCTGTTTTCCCCTATCTTTGCTAGTTCCTGATCTAGAGGTCTTTTTCCCCTCTTTATCGTGACTTTTTGATGATCTTGAATGTGAGTCCCTACTATCCCTGGAAGAATTTGATTTGTGTTCTCTGGGTTTGGGGGTACTCACATGCTTATAGGGGTGATGGATGCTCCTTTTAAGCTTGAGGGTTGGTGGGCTTCTGGGGCTGTTGGAGGAGCCAGAGGACCTCCGTCTCTCTGTGTTTAGTGACAAAGCTTTTCTGCTTTCTTCCTTTTCCGTTGCTCTCTTTGTGAATAAGGTTTCGGCGGGTTGTTCTTTGGTGATTTCGTCATCCCTGGTTATTGTGGGGTGACTGTTTGCCCCTTCGAGCCCCTCCATGAGGGTGTACTGCTCCTTACGAGCTGCTTTTATTTAATTGACAAGGGGGGTAGCCATGTGTGAGTTGAGGTAATTTTAAGGTAAAGGGGGGAGAAAAAGTCCTTTATATCTCACAAGGAAAGTCAATGTTTAATTATTCAACAAAACATTGAGTGCGACCGGTTTCGAAGTATCACCACTTCATCTTCAGGCTCGCCTAGTGGAAAGGAGAATATGTGGTGTAAGGTGTGTTGACTTTGAGCCCACAATATATAAAATAGTAAAAAATAGAAAAACTCACCATACTCTCCATCCACTAGGGAATACTACAGACAAGTTTCATCAAAACGTGGGGGATGAAATAAATTGTAAAACAAAACAATGTTACAAGTTATAAAAAGTTAAAAATATTTGAAAAACAAATATTAGTCGATATAAACAGTTAAATTTTTTTTTTTTTTTTTTGTATAGTCTTGAATATTTTAAAATTTTTAACTGTTTATATCGACTAATATTTGTTTTTCAAATATTTTTAACTTTTTATAACTTGTAACATTGTTTTGTTTTACAATTTATTTCATCCCCCACGTTTTGATGAAACTTGTCTGTAGTATTCCTTAGTGGATGGAGAGTATGGTGAGTTTTTCTATTTTTTACTATTTTATATATTGTGGGCTCAAAGTCAACACACTACCCCCCCTACGCCCCCTACCCCACTCCACCCCCCCCCCTACCCCCCACCCCCCCTTCGAAACCGGTCGCACTCAATGTTTTGTTGAATAATTAAACATTGACTTTCCTTGTGAGGTATAAAGGACTTTTTCTCCCCCCTTCACCTTAAAAAAAAAGCTTTTATTTAAACCTGGCTGACACGTGCTCTTATAATTAAATCAATAATTTTATAAAACAAAACTAATCTGAATACACACTATCTATAAAATGATAAGCAGAACTGGTTTCGCACAAATTAAACAAACCTTCTCGTGTCACAGACAAGGCGAGACTTGGTGAAACAATTACCTCCCATAGTCTCCCTCTGATGATAAACACATCTGTAATAAATTGAAGATTACTAAATTTAAATAAAACTATTTAAATTAAATTAAAGTTATTCGAGACGCTCGGTATAACCAAAATCATAATTTTCCAAGTAAATATTTTATAACTCAATGTGTAACTTTACAAGTAAAGTAATATGGCATATTCTATTTAATGTTCAACCGACGTCGTTATAAAAACATAATGTAATTTAAAACAAATGTATCTTGACATTAGAAAACATCATGGAATTGGTGATATAGTTTCTGGTTTAAAAACTTGGCAATGTATTTTGTTCATAGATATGGAGTGGGGGAGATAGGAAAATGGCTGCCCAGGTGGCAAGGAAAAACGTTTACAATGGCGTAAATGTCAAGGTATATCTGAGTCTGCGCATTAGTTAGAATATTGTGACATTTGACATTTAGTTGTCTTGTGATTGTCGTTATTTTTAGTAATTTTTTAAGTTTTTGTGAGTTTTGGAAAATTATTTTGATCCCTAAAGATGTCCTAAAGACTTCTATAAACAATGGTTAAAACAAGTTTAGTGTCCAAACCGATGAAATAATTCCGGAGAACTTGTCATAAGTAAGTTTTTAACACCAATGCAGTGAAACAACATTTAATACCGTAATACCGTATTTTTAGC